TATGTTTGTATATTGTTAAAAAATATAAGTATAAGTTATCGTGACACATAAAATATATTATTAAATCTCATTCAAAATCAACACTAAAATTGTGTGTAATTATATGTCAAATAGATATATACTTACATATATTATATATATAGTAACACTTTTTACAACATTATATGTAACATTTCTTGTAGTATATATATATGTATGCATGTATATATCATATAATAATATTTTTTTGTTTAATTATTATACAATAAATATACTAAAATTTAAGTCTTGAGTTTTGTTGGAAGCACTTGAATCAATCTAGTGGTGAAATAGTAAGAATTACGATAATGTGTACAAGATTTTAAATTCAAATTTTTATACCTTCATTATAAATTTGCTATATATGAAAAAGAAAATCTTGATATTTATCTTAATTCTAACAAATCCTGGAACTCAGCTTAAATAAAAAAATATATAAAAAAAATTCTGTACTTAAAAAAATATGAAATTTATTGGATGCATATATTTTTATCAACTCTATTGCTGAACCAATTAATCGAGAATATCACCTTATTTTATAAAACATGAAAAATATTGTTATCTCGTATTTTTCGATTTTTTTTTATTTTTCGTAATTGATTAAATTCCACAGTGATCCCAATAATAAATAAAGAATATGCACGCAATTTAATAAAATCAAAGTACATATTTATTCATAAAAATGTATAAAAAAGAATGCATTCCTTTCAAATTAGTAATGACCAATGTCTTAAATCTAATAAAAAGCGTGCTTATACGTTGTACGTACCCCTAAGAAAAAAAAAAAGGCAATCCATCCATGCATGCATCGCTAATTTGAGGCTCACAATTTGTTTTCGATGGAACGCATTCAGATATTGAGAATATATGTGGAAGAGTCTAGAAGTAGAACATAGAGAACATTGTCGTTAGAGTTGAATAATTAATTTATGTGGCACATGTTACTACCAATGTCATATTCAACCAAATTCATTCATAAATATGTCAAAGTTGGATGCTGGCTGCTCAAGAGGGACTGCCAATAATGTATTTTCGTAAAAGTTACCTTCAGAATATTGAATCAACATTTTAAATAATTAATACATATATCAACCGACATACAAGCAAGTTGGTATAGACATGTACAACACCCACTGTTTTTAGACATTTTTGGTATTAAAAGAAGGGGTGGATCCGGAACATATGTCCTAGTCCTACCTATTAATGTGCCCAGTGCGTAGATTGTTTGTAGGTTTTACATGTGCATAATTTATTAGTATATTTAATAGGTAATTTTACTCAATTCATAATTTATCCGATATCTTCATATAAAATAAGTTTGTCAAGTTATTTTTATGAATTAATCACATATACATTGATAATGTAAAGTATTTTATATTGCAACTAATTATATTTTTTAATAATATCATGCCAGTTGCTTATTTAATAAAATAAAAATAAAATAAAATAATTTAAAAAGATATGATTGGTTACTAGTGTAAAAAAACTTTACACTGACAGTATATGAATGATTAACTCTAATTTTATTAACTTATAATACATTTGACTGATTTATAAGTTTATTTAAGAAAAATAAAAAATATTGGATGAACAAGTTTATTATATTAGTTTAAGAACTACTAAAAACAATCTATAGATAAAAGTGAAGTAATATGTATAAGAGATAATAGGTTTTAAACTTGAGTATTGTATAATATTATGTATTGAGAGTTTCACACATCACACACATTTTTTACATTGTTAAAATATTGTTTATTTTGAACTTAAGTCTTCATGATTTTATTTTTGCTCTTATTTTGATTGTTAGGCATACCTGTTGAACTAATGATTTTGATATTGCTTGTTGTGCATTGGGTAGGGATGTAAGCGGGTTGGGTTGGGCCAGGTTTGGATAAATCCGTTATTTGATCCAATTAAAATTTAACGGGTTGAGTTAAGTCGGATTTGTGTAAATTTTTTTAAAAATTCAATCCAACCCAACTCAATCACAAACGGGTTGGGTTGGGTTAATCGGGTCAACATGATTACATTTATTTATTTTTTATAAATATTTAAATATTTTAAAATAGATGTAAATCATTTGATACATAATTACAAGTTCAATGTTATCAACCTATAAAATAAACAATGATACAAATTAAATTCTAAAATAAATTTATTAATTTGTTAGATTATTATCAACTCAAAAAATTAACATTAATTAATACAAAATAAAATTTAAAATAAATATATTATATTGTTATAATACTATCAACCTAATTCACAAAATTTATTACTAAGTAAGAGTGACGGTGAGTAATGTCTTAAGCAAATGATCATTCAAACATTATTATTATTATTATTATTATTATTATTATTATTATTATTATTATTATTATTATTATTATTATTATATGACCAAGTTGGGTCGGGTTGATAACGGGTTGAAAACACAAAACGCGTTATTTGTTGGGTCGGGTTGATAACGAGTTGAAAATACAAAACCCGTTATTCGACCTGTACAGTATCGGGTTTTGATCAGGTTGGGTTCGGTTGAGTTTGACCCGAACATTGAAAAAATCTTATTCGAACTCATTGGGTTGGTTTGCGTCAGCTTAGATTCGCGAGTTATCCATACCTGCTTACACTCCTAACATTGGGGTTTCTACACATATCTTCACATCGGTTAGATATTATCCACTTTAATCGTAAGTCCTTATGGTTTTACTTTTGATAATCATCCAAAAGGCCTCATAACAATGAAGACAAAATTGTGTATATAAACACATGTCTTTGCTCTTGATTGAACGATGTGAGACTTTGATTGTATCTCAACAATCCTCTCTTTAAACAAAGAACCATGGTTTACCCTTGGGAAGACTTTCTTCCATATATAAACCCACTGTTAGGAAAACTTTCAATATAATGAACCCTATACCTAGATCCACGTACAAACTCCATCATACTTGTCAAGTCGGTCACCTGTCAAACCAATAGTTTTGATACCACTTGTTGTGTACTAGGGGGTTTCTACACACATATGTATCCACATCGGTAAGATATTGTTCACTTTAGACCTAAGCTCTCATCATTTTACTTTTGATAATCACCCCAAAGACCTCTTAACAATGTAGATGATTGTATGTATACATGAACTCATGTTCATCCTCTTAATTGAACAATTTGAGACTTTGATTGTATCTCAACATATACTAAAGAAAATCTTACTAGTTATAATTGAAGTAACATTAAATTTTTTAATTTAAAACTAATCATTATTTAGTTGGTATTATTAAATTCAATATTTATATTATTTATATTTAGGTTTTATTAATAGGATAGTAATGACAACTATAATAGAGATGATGGTGGTGGTAATGACAACCACAATAGTGGAATAGATGAAGACGGGAGTGGTGATGATCATTGCAATAAAGATGGTGGCACAATAATAATAGAAATAATTATAATCATGGTAGTACGTACATGATAATTTTATTTATAATCTTTTACTTTAAGCCATTTTTTTAGCATAAAGAAAAATGAAACAATAAAAAAAAGAGCAAAACCAACACAACTACAAATGTAAGAAACTAATCACCAAAGCACCAACTAGGAGAATGCTCCTGGAACACCATTTATTTTAATTTAAAGATTGAAAGTGAACATTTTTATTTTCACATAAAAATAATATTCTCATAATATACATTATATATATATATAGACACGCATTTGTATCTTCAATACTTTGATAAAAACAAATTAAATTATCATACATATTTAAACTATTCATTTTAGCTATTATATTATTCATTTTAATTTTTAATATAATATTATTTTCTTAAAAAAAATGTGGAAATCAAAATTTACTAAGAAACCCTAAAACTATAATTACCTCGGTTAAATAATTTAATTAAATAAGTTATCTGCTTTTCGTTAGAAAGTAACTTTAATTTTTTTTTGGCTAAATTTTCAACTTCCAACTAGTTTTGTTTTACTATTTTTTTATGAAACATAAACTTAAGTTCCTTTAATTTTCTTTAATATTTTAAGAAAAATTATGAGTATATAGATTGAAACATCTATATTAGCTTAAAGTTAAGGATGCCCTTTACACCAAAAAAAAAAAAAAGAAAAAAAAGAGACAGGTTAAGGATGCCTCCAGCAACCTAAATTGAAAATCTGAAAAATCCTTATTCGGATTTTATAATTTGAAAATATTTAGTAGGTTCTTATTAATGCGCAAAAATCACATATTTGAAGCATAAAAGCAAAATACTTGCTTCGGGTTAAGATTTATGTTATATGGGCCAGTATATCACTTCTTCATAAAACACTACGTAAAGGACTAATAATAATTCTCAAATTAAAATAAATAATTTAAATTAACATATAAATAAATAAAGTTATACCTATATTCCATTTATCATTATCCTCCTCACCATAGTCACTGCGCCCCACCAAATTGCCATTACACATTTCCGATTCATGAAAGCTTAGTTCCAAATTGTATTAGTCCACAAATCGCATTCACCAAGTGCATACGTGAATCTACCATCTTTAGACAGAAAAATTATATAATATATAATACTTTCATCCACACAACAACATAACTAAGATAATTGTATTTATCTTTTTTGTTTTTTTACCCTTCTTATCTTGATGCTTTTCCAATAAATGAAATAGTGCTTAGTGTCGATACTCATTCGAAACAGGTTTATTAATTTTCTGATTTCGTAAATTCGTTGACATCTCTGCCTTTTTTTTTCTTTCTTTTTTTCACTTTTTTTTTAATGTAGACGTAAAGTTCAAAGGAAAAGAGTTACATAAGCATCTTGTTACATTAAAGCATGAAAAAGTTGTTTAGCCTCGTATAACCGTAAACTACACACCTTACGGAAGCAAGTGGCGAACATTGTATGAGCACATATTCCCCAATCCACGGTGCCGAATTCTGAGGTATTATTGAATGGTCATATATTATTATCTCAAGTGCAGGGGAAACAGAGTCTTACATCGTATATTGAATTGAGCCAAAAATAACATAATGCAGGAGGGGACATGGACATTGTTTGACTGCTAGTGAACACACATTTTAATTTCGTACCAAGACAGAGACAGAACGTCATCAATGTTTATCTTCAAATAAGCCCTTAACTGCTTCACATAATCACAGTCACCAAACGACAACAATATTTACACCGAAAGTTAGAACAGCATTGCCAGCTACATAAACGTTTATTTTGCACGAATTGTAAAACACATTCGTGTGCTGTTTTTAGATACATACTAAACAACAGTCTCTCTACTTGTGTAATTAAGCATTTCCCATTTCAGAAACTTATGGTGATACTGATATACTTTATCTTTATCACCACATGATGCCACTTAGTAAATATTAAACATACATGCATAACAGCTACTTATTAGTAGTAACATTGCCTCAAGCAATATTACATATATGATTGATTTAACTGAATCTCTAGGTGACACGAAAAGTAGAGATTGGTGATGAGTACGTGGTTGTAGACCATATAATATAATTTATCCCTTTTTCTTTTTGTCCTCAAAATCAAGAAGCTCCTCCAACAACCTATCATCCAAGTACTCAAACTCAAAGACTTCCCTTGCTTGCTCATTTCTACCTCTGGCTTCCACATTGGCATGCCTAGAAGATGAGGCTGAGGAGGAGGAGGCAGCAGAGGAATGAGTGGCAGCAGCAGATGTGACAGGGTACTCGTTGGGGAAGTTGAGGATTGCAAATGAACCTCGCATGGCATAAGCAGCTCTATCATAGGCTCTGGCTGCTTCCTCCGCCGTGTTGAAAGTTCCAAGCCACACCCTCTGACCCTGCCTTGTGGAGTCTCGAATCTCCGCCGCGAACTTCCCCCATGGCCGGCGCCGCACCCCCCGGTAGCGGACATCTCCAGCGTCCTCCTTGCCCCTGCCCCTTGAGCCTTGTTCATCCATGGTGTATGGTTTAGTTTTTGTTTGCATGCATGGTGGTGAGGTTGGAGTAGGTTTGGGTTTTATATATGGTTGAAAAATAAGTGCACACAGGGCAAAGGCACTACCTGATTAGGCCACGTGAGCGTTGGTTGCACGTGATGATTAGAAGTTTCTGCCCCTAAACCAATGACCAATATTTGAAAGTTGTGTGTGCATTGTATCTGGATGGTCAAGGTGGTGGCTTTGCAAATTTTGAAATTCTTCTACCACTCTCTCCTTTAAACGCCTTTTACACATCGTTGTTTCCGAATTCATTTCGCAAGGAAACAAATACCACTCTGTGGCTCACAAAAATATTCAAAAGGAAAATAACAATAATTAAGGCTAAAGGTAACCCCACTTTCATCAATTTTACGCAGCTTGGTTGAAAAGTTCAAAACGTGCCAAAATCAACTTGTGGGACTCATTTTGTGAAGTCAGATTGCTGATTTATCCTTACTTAGGTAATCAATATTCTAATCATCATTACATTACATAATTATATTTTCAGATATAGTATCTCCACCACCATCATTGGAGAATTTTTCTGTTGAACTAAGTTTTCTAGAACCACATGATATTTTTTTTTCTTCTAGAAAGAACCTGGTTCTAGTAAATAGTCTACAAATTTCTTAATGCAAATAAATGTTCAACTACGTACAGGGAGAGAGAGAACTACAAGGGTGGGGGATCATGAGGATTGATTGTTTTCATGAGTCCCGGTGACTGAATAAGATTCTTTATAAATGGTGCAAGAATCAGAATGTGATTTACAGATTATTGATTACAATTAGAGAAGAGCGACACTAATAGAACCATATATAACGGAAAGACATATCCGTATTACTGCAAGATTTTTTATTTTTAAATTGTCTGATCAGAGTGGATGGCTGTAAGATACCAAGATTAGTAGCACGTTTTTACTAGTTCAAAATTTTATTAACTTTATCATAACCACCTTCTACCAGCTTGGTTAAATTTACTTGGGTCATAATCTATTTATGAAACATGTTTAAATTTATATAACAGGGGGAAAAATCCTGTATTTAAAATAGAGCTTTCTACTTTAAAAAATAAAAATAGAATTCTTGTTTCTTTATTTTTTTTTTTAAATAGAGTTTTGTTACATTAATTCTTTTATTCTAAAGAAAGTCTAAATCTATGTACTGAAAGGCAAGTGTCTAAAGCTAATGGATATCGTGTTTACGATTCCGAACAATTTTACGATTCGCAGAAGGTGTTCAGTGAATAAGAACATGCCTTTTTAAGGTCTTTTAAGCATAAAAAATTTAGCAAGGTCACTTTTGCAAAAATAAGAATATATTTTTTTTGGTAAAAAAAAATAATTAAAAAGGTAAACATGAATAATAATGGAATTTTGTTCTACTATAAGGCTAACAAAAAGCATAGGCCCAATAAGCCGTTACCACGATATTGTCGGCTACCATTTGAAGGCATGATTTGGAAAAGTCGGGCTCAATACCGTTACTTTTACTTGGAAAAAAATAATAATAATTAAATGAAATATTAAGGTAGTATTTGCATTATAGTTTTTTAATTTAAAATTGTTTTTTCTCTCTTAATAATAGAAAACATTAAAAAATGCTCGCAATAAAAATCGAAAATAGATTCTTATACTTGTATCATCCTAATCTTTTTCTCTCAGTATTATTCCTTGTGGTTAATTTAAAATTGATATTATGGTTTTAAGTTTTTTTTTAATCAATTTTTTTATGGTTGAAATTAAATTGTTTTTTTACTTTCAGGCAAAAAAGGTTAATTATATGTGATATTACGGTAGTATTTATAATATATTATTTTAATTTAAAATTAAATTTCTTTGTGATCCATATAATATTTTAAAATTAATTTACATTTGTGAAGCATTATTTTTATTAACTAACTATTATTTTAATACAAATAAAAAAACTTAGAAGAAGTCGATCTAGTCTTTGTTTTTTACTTTGAAATATAAAAAAAATATTTTAGTCCCTATTCCCAAATGTTATTAATGAATTTGTTATTATTAATGAAAACATCATCAGGCACAACTTATATTGTTATTAATGAATTTTTTAGATAATGTCACACAAAAAATTCCCATACTAGTGTTATTATTAATGAAAATATCATCAAGCACAACTTGTGTTGCATAGCTATTTAAATTTATAATTATCAAATATATTATTAGTAATTTGAAAGACTAAAATAATTTATTTTTTGAAATTATAAGAATTAAAAAGATTATTTTAAGTTGAATTAAATATACATTTATTCCTTACAAAATTCCTTACAAAAATTAACGAGTCTTGATTTTAGTCCTTATAATTTTTTTAAAAAATTTTCATTCCTATAAAATTGAAACTATTTTTTAATCCCTACTTGTTATGTCATCATTTTTAATTATATTTTATTTTTTAAAATGTTAAGTGACCAACTTAGATATTACTTACATATGATAATGACATTTTGTCGATATTTGACACTTCTAAATATTTTTTATAAATATTTAAAATAGATATTACTTATTTGTCTTAAAATAGTCATTACAAACTAAAAATAGAGATATTAACTTAATTTATTGAGATTAAAATTAAAAAAAAACATTTTACAAAGATTAAAATAAAAAATTTACTTATTTTGTAAGGGTTAAAAATATTTTTGAAAGTTTTAATATAATTAAAAAATTATAAGAACCAGAATTAAATTTAAAACATATTTAAACATTTAAAATGTGATAATTTACCCTAAACTTTAGTAACTAAATATGAAAAGAAAAACCTTAAGTAACTGAAAACATATTTTAGGACCCATCCTAGAGGGTTCTATGTAGGGTGGCATACCCAACAATATCTCCTACAGTGAAAGAATAAATTTGAACCATTAGATTTATTGGGTTTTAAATGGATTGTTAGGATTTTTTCTCTTTTTACCTTTTTATTTTTTTTCCCGAAGGAAGCTAACTTTGACAGAACTAGTTAGACAAAAGTCAATGATCTGAAATGGGATTAAAAGTCTCTAGCCCGATTCATAATTGGGCCAAGATCTATATACTTTACACTCATGAGATTCATTAAGTGGATGTAAAACTGATTCAATTTGGTTCTTCTAAATACCAATAAGTTGCTTACGAGGAACCGAGTTCAATATTATTTAAAATAAAATTTCATATTCAAATTTTGTAAATAAAATTGTGTTTAAGAGAATTTTTTTTATTAAAACAATTAGTTAAATTTTTTGAAACATTAATCATCAATAAATTTAATAAATATTTTGTACTAATAATAATTAAAAAAATTACCCTTCTTAATTGAAGCGATTAGACTTTAGCAGATGAATATGATTAAATATTTAGTTAAACTTACCAGTGGAAACCTACAGGAATTATTTATATCCATTATCCAAGGCATTTCGTGATTTTGATTAGATCACACATGTTTAAAGACCGCAAATAATTATGAAGAAATCAGTCAATTATCTAATTGATAAAAAATTTATGTTCATTTAAACATTTCAAAACCAATTTTTTATTCAATCAAATTAGTACCAAAGAATTTTTACCAATTCATATATATTGTTCAACCAAGTGGTTAAACCCCTAAATCCATTAACCATCTAATTAATCAAATGCAAAATTTACATTTTTTAAAATCTTTTTCTGTTCTAACTTTTTTATTTTTTTATAACCGTTTTACGGTTTATTTCATTTATTGTTAATATAAATTTTAAATTTACTATATAATTTTCGGTATGTCTCTCCTTAATTAGTCTAAACAAATAAATTTAAAATTTATTCATTTTTAAATACCCTAAACAGCCATAATTGATGGTCTCATTCCCCCCTCCCCCGCCCAATTTTTTGGAGAAAAACAACAAAGGATTTGTTTACTTGTATTTTCATTTCTTCTTTTAACTGTTAATTTATAAATTTGTCACTTTATTTTCAAAATTTTGTACAACAAACATGAATTTTTTGTGTGTGTGTTTTCTCTAATTTTTTTAACAAATATTTGCAAAAGGTAACAAATTGAAAACCTCATGATAGTTTTGTAAATTAAAAGTAAAAATAAAAAATGAAAACATAAATGAGCAGGACTTTTTTTTGGGAAAATAAACAGAACCTAATAGGATTCAATTAATTTAAAGTTAAATAGAATTAATTAATTTTAGATTATAAAATATAATTGAGATTATATTTAAGTTAACCTAAAGTATAAGAAGTATACTTCAATTGGTTAAATAGAATTGTGAGTATTGTACCAATTTCTATTTACACACACCATACATATATAAGTTAATTACCTATATATTGCTAGTATAAAAAAAATTTATATTAGCAACCAATCATATCTTTTAATAATATCATGTCAGTTGTTTATTCAATGAAATAAAATAAAATAATTTAAAAGATATGATTGATTGTCAACGTAAAAAATTTTACACAGACAATATATGAATGATTAACTCTCTTTATATATATATAATTAATTAATGTTACAATGAGAATAATTAGTTTTGAGAATTTACCAAAAGGAAACTAATAATTTATGTTGACAGATCAATGGAAATCATTTTAAACAAATACATGCAGCATTTATCAATAAATAAATAAAATAAGGCAGGCACGCAAGGTTATGGTTTTTCTGATGTGGTATATTTGACTGGCGTTTTCAAATGTGGATTCAATTAAATTATAAAGTTAGAGTACAGAGATCTTAATCGGGAAAATAACTATTTTCCTTGCATGGCTGGCCTGTAGAACACGTGAAGACACGTGCACGGTAGTAAAATGAGTTATGTGCTTAACCTTTTGATATGAAAGATAAATTTTATTTTTATATAATATATTTTAAGATTAATAACGTGATTAAGGGAAATAAAGAGAAAAATATCATATAATATTATTTTATAAATATAACATCTAAAACAAATGCTATGAAATAATAATGTGAAAACATAAAAACTTTATATAATTTTGTTTCGTTTGTTTGTGTATATGAGTTGAATATTCGATTACATAGTTGTTCTAACACATTTTGATATACCTCTCCTTAGTGTAGGATGTTGTGATGGATTGACTTAGACATATTCTCTTATGTCACTCTATATGAATCTTTGGATAGTGTTTTAGTGGTGCTACATGCATATGGACTATAGTGATGTTTGTCCATCATAATTTTTGTGAATCGTGACCCTTGTTATTGTGTTAAGTTATTCCTAAGTTAAAATTGTTACAAATGTTGTGTAATCTAATTTATATGTATATATTATATCGCGATTGTGTGTTTATTTGAATATATCTTACCCTACTAATTAAAGTGAAATGTTTTTCATTCCACTTTTTCTTATTGATATGATTCTTGCATGTTTTACATGTCATACATGTCAAGATCATCTAA